CTTTTCTGAGTAGTGACCAACTCACGAAGCTCACTCCTGAGTCCATTAACCCAAGAGGGCTCATCCAAATGAAAGCGTTCTGGAAGGACCTGCACAGGTTCGGCAGGCAACACATGTGGGGCACGCGGAGTGGCGGGAGCTGTGGGTGCTTCCGGAACAAGTACCGGCGCTGCAGGCCCCATGTCCGTAATAGTAGCGCCACCTGTGCCATGGAAGAGTGGCAGGTAGTGGTCCCCACCCTTCCCAAAGTGTGGATATCGGTCAGAAGGCGCAGGCATCTTGGAGGTACCCACCCCCAGGCGTGGCTTCTTTTCAGGGCTTTCAGCAGGCGGGAAATTGCGGGCATTGTCGTTGCTTACTTCTCTACGGGCTTCTGTGTCAGTCGGTTCAAGTGCCGCAGCGAGCGCAGCAGCAGCAGAGTTGGCATCATGAAGTAATTGGAGGTCAGTAGGCTTGTTGGTTCTAGCAGGCATCCTGTGTGAACCGCCTCTCTCTTGTTGTCTCCCTCTCTGTCCCGCTTCCTCCACAGCCGGAACGCGTTGAGAAGGATGATCCACAGCTGTCTCCCCCCCGCCACCATTTCGCCGGTCACCCGCATCCATCATTGCATCATCGTCACCGGGTTGCCAGAGTCGGTTGATGCCAGCCCCCACATCATCCGGGGCAGGGGGTCCAAAGGGAACCGTGGAGTCATCCGTCATCTGGGGGAGGGATCAGGAGGGCAGAAGGAGGAGACACAGGGCTGCAGTAGAGAAGTAGCAGGCAGCACGGCACAGGGAGTCCCAGGTAAGGGTTTAGGGTTTAGGCTTTAGGGCGGTTGAAGGTTTAGCGCTGGGAGCTTTGAAGCTTGAGGGTGTTCGGGTTGAGCTTAGGGTTTGTGAGGCTGCTTTGGATACTGGGTGCGCTTGGGGTTTAGTCCGGGGCTTGCGGCGAGGAAGCTCTAGCTTCCAAGGCACGCTTGAGCCAAAATGGCTACGCTAGGGTTTTAGGGTTTGGGGGCCCGCTTTTGCTCCTGCTCTTGCGTTTGGTTTTGCTCTTGCTGCTGCTTTTGCTGGTGCTCCCGCTTTTGCTCTTGCTCCGGCCCTTGCTCTTACTGTGCTCTAAGGGTATCTGGAGCCTCGAAACCCTGCCCCCTCACTCAGAATAGATTATAAAAGGCAGGGATAATTTTGGGAGGATTCGCCCCCAACGTGTTTTTATTATTAGGGCGGTGTTTTCAGAAGGGGGAAGGATTGAGGAGGAGAAACTCGACAAACAACATATTCATTCTTTATATTCTCTCTGCATGTGTATGCGACCCCCTCCAAAATCCACACGGAATATCTTGTGCTGGGGAGCATTGTCTGAAGCATTGGCATCACCCGGCGATTATGTTGGTCCTACTCGGTGACTTTCTGAACAACGTGCAAGCACCAATACAACGTCGAGGTATTGCTGCCCGCTCTTTCTAGCAACATTGAAAAAGGATGATGGATGAAAGCCTTTCTTGCTAATGCAGGAATGCGGTATCCTGCCTAGTATGACATTTATGCACCTAAGTAAGAATACCAATCGCGATGTATTTCGGTTTGCCATTCTACACTGTCTACACAGTGTGTACCCTCGGCATCCTGGACCAGTGTGTAGCTAGGACATATTTGAATCTTCGCCTGATGATTCGAAAATTTACGCTTGGCGCTTGGCACTGTGTTATGTAAGTAGAGGGACGTCTAATCGAAGCTCCAAAAAGAGGGATGCTCAAACTAGTGGCTAGTTGCAGCTAGTGGATATGGATACAAGATCTGACATTGACAAAATGGCCAGATGCTTTCTTTGTGTATGAAGAATCTGGCTGATACTGACCCACCGCTCAACAACATTCAGTTGCAAGTCAAGGATAAAACAACTAGTACATAATGACCTATGTAAGGCCCATTTCAGATTTTCAACAAAGCGCTTGCAATCCAGAACCCTTTATGTTTCGTCATTCGGGCCGTGTCTAACCTGCATAAGTGAAAAGGCAACGCTGAAAATACGAGTTATATAGATAAACAAAAAATATGTACATATATATATATACACAATGCACAGAGACATACTGGTTACTCGCCATGCATTACCACACCTACAACGACAAGGGTTCTGCCTAAGCTTCTGTTATTTTTCATTGAGACCTCGTAGGGACCCGTCCCCAAGCTCTTTGTACCAGTTTCCAAAACTTCCCACCCCCAAAAGCTCGAGATGAGAAGTTCCAAAAAGTTAAAGTTTCCTAGACGTCAGTGGATGTTGGATTTTTGAGCTTTTTTGAACTGGTGTTAATCCTAAACAGTTGAAACATTAGCGTTGTTTTGGATTGGAAATGTTGAAAGTTTCGGAATTTTTACATGGTGTTTTGAGAATTACAGAACTGTTGCACGTCAGGCCCGAACTCAGGCGGATGGTAGAACTTTTGGTTGAGGTAGTACGTACACGATCATCATCTTGTGCGGGTGTCATATACACACACACACACATATATATATATATATACATATACGGATTGTAAATATATACACATACATGTACGTAAATAAGTATAGAGATGTATGCACATGCACCACAAATTTCTGTCTGCATATATTATATACACAGAAGTGTAGATATGTTTGCATTTCCTCAGGGCCTCTCGTGCTCAGCTCAAGCGCATTGGCGAAGTCGCTTGGCTGCGTGCAGATGAAGGCCAAGTCTATGAGGGAAAGGCCCATGTCTCGGGCCATCTTGCCTGTGATGTCAAGTTGGGGACAACACTGACAACAGCAGCACGATTGCTTCGGAACTCTGTGCACTGCCCTGTCTAGTGCTCTGATTTCCGACATCACGGTACAGTCTGAGAGACCTTCATGACACCACGCAGTACCTACTTGCAAGAACCCCGTAGGAGGTCTTGAACGGAAGGCTGCGTCCCCCAAAGCGCAAGCTTTATGCATTACCGGACGGTGAGGTGTATCTGCAGCAAGGCTGCGGATGCGGCCGTTGTGGACGGCCAGACTTGTCGACACCAGCATTTTCAGAAGGACCTTTGCGGTGGAAGATCAATAACACCAACATGTCCATGCAAAATGCATTCGACTTGAGGTAGATCTCCTACAAGCCATGGTTCAACCCTCCCCTTCTTGCTTGACCCAGGCTCTTGATCGAACTGCGGCGCATACACAGTGCAGCATGCCGCATGGCAGCCAATGGCTGTTACTGATTGAAGAACCTGCTTCATCTTCTGGCAGATGTCCTTGCCGTAAAATTCGGTACTTCTCAGTTTTGGAACCGAGTTTATCGGAGCATCGCAAAACCAAGCCAACACCGACTGCATCCAACAGGAAGGAAAATCTGAACTGTCGGCCCAAGACTCGTCCAGCCTGACCGTAACTGCTTTGTACACAGCTCTCGGGGCGAAGGAGCTGGCAGAAAGCTCGTTCAGCAGGCGGAGGAGGTCATTCCCGGACACGGAGAGTATTACATGAGTTGCAGAATCCGGGATGCGCCCAAGCTGCTTCATGGCCACATCGTCCAGGTTTGCGCCATCTTGTGCTAAGAATGTGCATTCCCAACCCATAGTGGAGCATTCTGCAGCCAGGAGCTTGTGAATGGAAATGTCGACATGCCGACTGTTGTCAAGCGTGCTGTCCCCAAGCAGCACGATGTGAACCGGGCTGCAAAGGGAAAGGCCAATAATTGGAGAGAGTGTCGGTGAATTGCCTCGAGGAGTCACAGACAGCAGGGATGGGGAGGCGTCGCTTACCTCATGAAACATGCCCAGAGAAGCTTAAGCAGCGCCACGCACCATGGCAGGGAACGAGAACGTGTGCCCGACTGGCATGATTTGTGTACAAGAAATCATGGCATCGATGCTAGGTTGTTTCTTGTTCGTCAACAAGCCTTTACTCTTACAAGGAGCTTGTTCTGCAATGTCCGTGCAGCCCAGCAACGTCATGTCAGATTTTGCCAGAGGTGACGAAGCACATGCCGTGGCCAAAACACGCTTTGGTGCTCCGAGCCATAATCTACGACGAATAACTGCGCAGATGAGATGTATACACATTTGTACTTGTTTTGATAGTTATTCATGTATTTACTAGTTTTCCTACATTTTCGAAAATGTTTCTATATACATGTATGTATGCATGTATGCATGCATGCATGCATGCATGTACTACTGTTTATGTTTGTGTATATATATATATGTATATGTGTGTCCACGTTTTCGTTGTTTCAGACTTGCTGTTATCCACACATGCGCACTGCACACGAATCCAGGTGCACAGAGCGAGATGGAGTTGGAGAGAGAGGTACTGATGCATGCTTCTGTACACAAGAAATTACAAATTACATTGCATACATACAATTACATACATACATACATACATACATACATACATACATACATACATACATACCTTTGCATATGATTTTTTATGCTACATATCTCTATATATACATATGCACTCAGTAAGTCGGAACATAAATTGTAAACTGAAATCTACAGGAAGAGAGACACGACACGCATGTGTGCTTGGTTTTGCGTATGTATGTATGTATGTATGTATGTATGTATGTCCTTGTGCCTGTATGAATGCATACATGTCTATTCAGATGCATCTACATGTGTGCATCGAGGCGCATTTACATGTATGTATGTAAATGTGTGTGTGTGTACGGACTGTGTATATACGCACAAGCATATTCATGAAACTACTTATTTGTTTATTCACCTAGAACATAGAGACATATTGATGCGCATATACATAGGTGCGCACACACACACACACATATATATATATATATATGTATGTGTATGTGTGCATGCATTTGAGGAGCACAATCAGAACATGCTTTGGTGCGACGTGTGCTGAGGCAGGGCATTCACAACTAGAGTGACAAGATCTCACATGCAAACGTTGAATCTCCCGGCGAGCCAACAGTTTCATTGATTCACCAACCAATCTTGCCTTTGTCACAGCATTGTGACCATGTCGCGCAGCAAGGAGCAGCGGAGTCCAACCATGCATGGCTGCATGCTCCTGGTCAAACTTCGCTTTGCTTACTGCTCTGTTTGGGAGTTGCGAACCCCAAACCATCGAAGGAAGTGCTTCCCAAACACACTGCAAGGATGGCCTTGTCTGCTCGCATCTCGCACAAAAGCTTGACCACCGGTGCATGGCCTTTCAAGGAAGCTCGCCAGCGTCATCTCTAGGCAATCCCGACTTCCACCTCTCCGTGCTTACACTCGCAGGTCGGGTGATGCCACAAAAACTAAAATAGGAATAGCACTGGAATAGTTAATTTTATACTTGAACAGTTTTATTGATCCCTTAAATAATTTCTCGCCCCTTACATTAAATACTTCCTTTAAACCCATCCCTCTTACATGTAGGTGTGGATTCTCAGCCAACCGGCAACACTCTCAATGACAGCTCATGCTGTGCTCAGATGGCAGTCCCGCAGAGGTGACTGTAGGGCTAGCAATCGGAAACGGTGGACCCTCACGGCACGCGATGAGGAGTGGAGTGTAGCCACCTGTCCTTCCAGCTCCCGAACTCAAAGGCGAAGACTCTGAAGACAGGGACAGCATGAAGCAGGACCAGCATTCGCAGTGCAAGCTCGTCCTTGCTTTCTCCTTGTTCGCTCCAAGCTCACAAAGTACCTCGGCTTTCAGCTTTCAAGTCGTCGACACTGACAGAAGAGCACCAAGGAACAAAGACCAGTTTCAGCCAAGGCACCCTCGCAGCTTCCGCATGCCTTTGTTACTGGTGTCAGGCGGGACCGTTCTGTCTTCGACCGACTTCGAATGCACAGATAGCCAACCGGAGCACCTCCCTGCCCTACGAGCCCTTCAGGTGGCCGAAGCTGAAGACGACTTCGGGCTACCAGGCAGTCAGACCGAGTCAGACCTGCGACCTACTCTAAAAGGATCTACACAAGCTCAGTCGAAGCCATGTCTGAAGACAAACCGCGTAAACTTTTGAGAGCCGAGTGTCCCTCTCTGGCACGCGACGAAGAAAGGTGTCCGACGGTGTGGCGTGGTCTGCGCAGTACAAAGGCTAGTGCATGATCCACACAGTGGGCAAAGCGACATGCTAGCTGCCCTTCACGTTGAAGGGTCCCGTGACCGCATGTTGGAGGGAGGGGAGCTCTCTCGCTGTCTCCTTTTTTCTTTCGCCAGGGCTATGGCGCAGGGGTTTCGTCTCTCTCTCTCTCTCTCTCTCTCTCTCTCTCTTTCTTTCACCAGGGCTAGGGATGAAGGAGGCGAGCCCCCCTCACCCGCGCGCTCAAGGCGCCCCCGTCCTGTGGGGAGCAGATTGTGAGATGCGCATGCGAGATGAAGGCAAAGGTGGCTCGAAACAGTAGGATGCGCTACAGCAGGAAATCATAGCCACAAGACATGGTGCTCAGCTAAAGGGGCTAGAGCCCCTGCCACCGCCTCGTCTCAGCATAAAAGACCTATTTGTACACTGCCTGCCTGTGCACATTTGCATCAGGCCCGAGATCACAGACGGGCTTCACCCCCGACCAAAATACATCAAAGCTGCAGAAACCATAGTAGAGGAAATAGGAAGAAGTCAGCGGTTATGATCTCAGGTGGGGGTGGTTGCTCCCCGCTAGGCAACTGTGCCGAAAGAAAGCAGCTCTACGAGCAGCACGTTGTGATGACATGTCCAAAATAAATAAAAAATCACCTACCATGAGAAGTCAGCCGCAGTCACATAAAAGCACTCGGAAATCGACATGTCATGTCATCGTGCGGGAAGCATAGTTCGGCTGTCTGTTCTCCCTGCAACAAAGAAGGACCAACCCAACCCGAAACTCCCAAAGCAAGACCCCCTCAACCTCCTGAAGGCAAGAGAACCTGAACGGAAGAACTGACAGTTATTATTGGGGGATGTCCCCCCAAAGTTTTGAAGCATGCTACGGCACTGTGCAGAGGCTAAAGCAACGGAGCACATCGAAAGGGCGACTACATCTTACAGTAAAAAGGAGGCAAAGAGGACCGTATCCCCGACGTTTAGCCGCTGTGTGCAGGGAGTTGTGCCACTCGGGTTCCCCCGTCAGGTGTGCACTCAGTAGAGCTTGTCATTCAGCTTTCACAGAAGGAGCTCGGCAAAGGTCGAGGCGGGGCGGACGTCTGGCACTCCCTGATGTAGTTCCCGGGGCCTAGTCACCATCTTCGGACGAGTAGGCGGTGTCCATGACTGCATGTAGTCGGCGGCGTCGGTGTGAAGCGGTGCTCATGGCCACGGGCACCTCCTCCCGTCTGTGCTGTCTTGGTCTGGAGTCCAAACCTGACAGCAGCACCGTGCTGGCATTCGACTCCGGCAACGACGGGGGGCGCCCCCCGCTGGTCTGGTTCGGGCTGTCGTCTGCGGTCAAGACGATGGGGGTCCCCCAGAGCGCTGTCGTCCACTGGAAGAGCAAGCTATGCGCCTCCTGGACCACCATCGCACTCTGGTGTTCCAGAAAAGGTAGGACTTGCTGAAGTAGCTGTTGAGCTTTGAGCACTTGGTAAGGGGTGGACTCCCCTATCGCTGAGTACTGTTCTGCGCCTGGTGGTCGTGGGAGAGGAGCACGAGGATGGTCCGCAGCTTGTACCGGTAGAGCAGGGCAAGCGGCGGTAGCCGGCATGGTTGTTGTAGGCGCTGCATGAGGTGCTTCACCATGAGCATTTGTGAAGCAGGGGTTCTGGGTGCTCCCCGTCGGCATCTCCGTAGTGCGGCGCTTCTTTGGGGAAGGACTTCCAGAGGCCTCCCCCTGCTTGCAGCCAGCTCCAAAGCGCTTCTGTATCCATCTGAGCAAGGCTTCCATATGAGTATTGGCGCGGCTGGTCGCGTGCATCGTGGAGGTGATGGCTTCAGTGATGCCAGCCACGCTACCTTCTTCCATGGCAAGTAGGCTGAAGGCGAGGCATTGAAGAGCAGTACCGAGGCTTGCGTCCCCGTCTTGCGCTCCTGGTGCCTGGGGCGACCGTCCCCAACTTCGCAGTAGTTGTTGTCCTTCAAGAAGCAACATCTCCACCCTTCCCATCTCCTTTTTGAGGTGGCGCATGGGCAGGTCGTTGTGGTGCATGACGAGGTTCTGCAGGGTTGCCTCGGCCTCCACCAGCGGGTTGTTCATGACAAAGCAGACTTCAGTGGGAGCAGTGGATGCCGCGTTGTCGGGATATTCCCCGGAAGGATCATTGCTCGCTTCGCCGCCCCGGCGTTCATTCTCTGTCTGCAACTTGTCTAAGTAGTAACATGCCTGATAGGCTAGCTCGGTGACATCCTCCCTTGGTTGAAGATGCGACTGTTGAAGGAGGTCATTGAGCAACGCCCGGAGTAGCCGCAGGACGCTGAGCACAGGGGTTCCCCCCTGGGAGACTTCTTGCTGGAGCTGCAGGATGCGGTCAGAGAGTGCCGGCGATGTCCACGGTGTAGGCCTTTCCGGGTCCTGCTGCCTCTCTGGGGCACCTGGTCTCCCCTGCTGCATGAGGGAGACGCTGTCCCCGTTGAACGCGCTTTGCCGTGGACCAATTTCAGCTCGAAGCATGGTGGAGGTGGTTTGCAGCAATACCTGATCATCGGCAGGGGGTTGTTCAGGTGGCGGCATTGGAGGGTCCTCGCTCGGCCAACTGGTCTCCGAGTCGGAGATTACTCCTCCGCTTGGCTGTGGTCGTACTTGTACTTGGCTGGCATCTGCCTCCTGCGCCTGGTCCACAAGTGTCGGCTCGTCGACACGGGAGGTTGCTTGATGGCCCGGATCCTCTTCTGGTAGTAGATGAGGTGGTGGATGAAGCGGCGGCGTTGGGGTGTTGTCCCCAGTGGAAGCTGGGGACTTCGGCTTTGGCTTCGGCTTGGTTTTGCTAGCTGCTTTGGCCTTGGCTTTCACCACGGGGCCTGCGCCCCGGTGCCCACGTTGCGTTGGGTCGTGCCGTTCGGGAGGCTCAGGAGGATGCAAAGGCTCAGGTTGCGGCACTGTGGAGTATCCACCCAGCCTCTCGATGTCATTCTCAAAGCGCGGTCTTCTCCTCCATTCTTGGCTTTCTTCGTTCCACTGCAGCCAAAAAGTCATGCCCGCGGAGAGGGGAATGACCCCTGTGTTGTTTGAGCTGGAGCTGCTTGCTGTCGATGTGATCGTGTCATCGATCATGACCAACCAGAGCTGCGGGGTTCGGATTGCTCCAAGCTCAACTCTCGTGGAAGCTATCCACGGTCCAACGGGCAGAAGGGTGAGGCTCACTCCATGTGGGAGATATCTCGACCCCGGGGCACTCCCCGACTGGGTGTTGTAAATGACGAGGGTGGGTTCTTGGCCATGTCGCCGAGGATGACGTGCCAACTCCCAAGCGCGGAGGTCAGTGATTGTGCCGCGCCAGGCCCCAGTGGCAACACCACGCAAAGTCATGATGCTGCGTTGCCGTAGTGGGAAGACCGGGGGCAATGTCGTCGGGGGTGCCCCCGCTAGCCACGAGAGATCTTGAGTATTGGCTCCTGTTCGTACGGTACTGCGCATCGGTTCAGTGTTGCGGGTAGCCGACCATGAAGGTGCTCTCTGCTGGCTTGAGGCGATGGCAGCGTGGGCCTCCAAATCGGAGAGGCCTCCGGGGTGTTCCAGCCCCACAGTCTCTTCTGTCGCAATGGAGCTGGAGGGTCTCGGCGGTGGTTGGTAAAACAGGAGGTCCCCCGGGTCGACGTCCGCAATGACGGGCTCATGCAGTGGCGGTCTCGGCAGCTTAACCACCGGGTACTTGTCCACGCCATCCCCACGTAGCTGAATATGCGTACTGTTGGTCAGCTTCCTCGGGATAAACTGAGTACGTGTTGGCTTGGGCGGGTGTTCTCGATGTCCCCGAGGGAGAGAAAACTGGACTCTCCTGGCTTGCTTTTGGTTGTGGCTGCGGTTCTGCGGCGTGGTGGAAGACTGGGCTGCACGCTCACGGGTTGCCGCGTCATCATCGCGGACTGGTGCTCGTGGTAGTTGTTGTGCCTGTTGTGCTTGGGACGGCCGCTGGTGCTGGTGCCGACTCGGCTGCTGTTGTCTGGCTGTAGGCGTGGCGGAGGCTTCACTCCGAGGAGGGGCTCCATCACGACGTTGATGCGGTGGCAGGAGGTAAGGGTTGTTCTGCCGCCTGGCTGAGTGGTCTGCTGCGGCTTGTGTATCGGCTTTTGTAGGCTGTGGGTCGGCTGTCGTTACGGGGTTGTTGTCCCCTGTCGAGCCACCAGCTGCGACGCCATGAGCTTGTTGTTGCGCTGCTGGCGGATGCGGGATAATGTTGCCCGCGCTGTCGTATACATAATGATGGGCGTTCAGAAGGCTGCTGAGCATTGCTTTATGGTCATCGGAGATGGTTGGCCTCGGTTGCTTTGCCGGCGGGATTTCCCCGCGCTTGAGCCAGTCTAGAGCCCTGCGCCATGTCAACCAGGCCGGCTTGCGTGGCCAGCCACGCTCGTCCCACAATCTTTTGACATCTGATTTCCTGGCCTTGTTTTTGACCCGCTGGGATCCATGGCCGGCTGGCTTGCGCTGGGGTTTTCCCCCTGCCTTTGCTGTGGCTGTAGGCTCATGCTCCGTGTCTGCTTGCTCGTCATCAGTATCGCTCACCCAGTCGTCCGACGAGGCTTGATCATCAGACTGGCCAATATCTTGGCCTGCTTGGGTTGCCGGGGCGGTGGCTGCCTGTGGCGGGGCGTCCCCCGTGACCGAGGGGCCTGCCTCTGAGTAGGTGGTTGCTGCCTGGGCGTCGGTATCCAGTGAATCGGCATGGTCTGTTGGCTGTGTAGAGGACGTAGCTGCCGGGCATGTATGGGAAGCGTCCTCAGCATCAGTGGAAGGTGGCCGAGGAGGGTCATCACCGGCGGGCAAGGTCGTCTCCGCGTCGCTGTCCCCCGGGCCCAGAGCTGGACGACCGAGGCCGAAGGGGTTGGTCCTCCATTCGGAGGGAGGGAGCAAGGGGCCTTGGCTGGCGTACCGTCTCGCAAGCACACCCCAAGGATCCATAGTTGGGGGCGAGTATTGGCCAGCGCCCGGGATGTCCCCCGAGGGTGGGTTGTC